GAGTAAATCAAGGTGTTGTAACAGCTCCATACCAATGATTGACATGAAAGCATCTGAGGAAACAAAAATCCAATTAGTGGGTTTGTGTAAACTCACGTCAAGATAAACATATCGCTTGCCACATATGGCAACTGGTTTCCCATTCCCTGCTAGTAAGTTGAAAGTTAGTTCATGCAGTTGATAATTAGAATTTGCTAGAAGAACGATAACTTCTGCGCCAGTGTCGATGGGATAGAAATTTTTCTTCATCACATTAGTGATGCATAACAGAGGGCTATCTTCACCGGTTACGGCTACCATTAATGTGTTCACGTTGGGAAGTTTTCCGAAAGATTTTTCGTGTATGACGGTTTTGAGCTTATGAAACTGTGGGGTTTTCCACAATTTCAAGATTTTCCATACTTATTGTAGTATTGAAACCAATCAAGGTTATCTGCTTCTCGTCATTTAGGAGCAGGTGGCTTTCTTGAAGTAGCCCTTCGAGGAGTTCGAAAGCGTCTACGGTCATGACGAATACTAAGATAACATGTTTAGGCATCACAGAGGTCTGTGACGTCATTTCGTGTCGTTTGAAACTTTTTTTGGACAGAGCGAACCCCGGCATTGTGAGTTCTGTTGATCCCCAGAATCCGGTAGGCAGATGCAAATAAGTGTTACGTACATGAGTATCAAACAGAGTAATTCCGACAAAATGGAAACAAATATTGTTCTTCAGGGATTCGAGTAACTGTCTCTAGCAGGGAGCCATTGTCAAAAATCATCAACCGGACTGCTCTGTCACCTTGAGTTTAGTCAACCACGACCTTACTGTCGACTGTCCAGCGCCATGTAACACTATAACTCAATAGCAAAGGTAAGTCTTAACAAAGGTCTAGTTAAAGAAGACTAAGGAATATAAAACATGGTTACATTAGCACTGAGTAAAAGTTCAAATGAAAAACAAGGTGAAAGAGCAAATAGATAACAATATTGTAACGGCCGAAATGGTAATATTTGGTTTGGACGCAGAACCAAAATTTATTCGATTATACCAGACTGTGTTCTTCTTTATGGCTCACAAAACGTTTCCTAGTGGTTTGTACTAAATTATATCAAAAGACATACTCTGTGTCCAATTTAAACGGTTTTAATTTAATAAAGAGAACAAATTATATCAGGAATACAAAATACCTCAAACAGTACAGTCTATGCTTTACATTCAAGAGTTTCGCTAACACAAACTAATGTGCTAAACAACAAAAGGAATAGTTAATAAACAAGAGTTATAGTGGCCCGAGATCTGACTCCAGTTAAAACGTATGAATGTTATCGGAATATACATGTCGCCAATCCTCGTATGTAATCATCGACTTAACTCGCGTTAGTTTAAAACAAAATTAAGTAGGTCAAATCCAAGAATGGATTCTTGAATGCGTGTATTTTTAAACTCACTGATTTAAACAGACAATCAGAGGAATGAAGTGAAGAGAAGAGAGCGGAGGGAAATGACATGCAATGAAGATGGCGTGTGAGCCAACTCGATTTAATCAAGCGTTGATCAGTATTTGTAGTCCGCGAAAATAAGTTACAGACATGTGATGAATAGGATAAGAAGTGTACACACATATACGCTCATATGAAAAGTCAGGGTTGATTAGTCAATAATTAACAAGGTCAAAACGTGACCCAAGAAGAATGGATAAATTGGCCTGTCCAGAAGCTAGAATAAGTTGTGTTGGCTTAATATAGTAACAGATACTACAAGTTCGGTACCCGAGAATCAACAAAAATACTCCTAACAAGATGGGATGCGATGTCGATCTGCAAGGATTCCGACAACCTTTCCAAGTAGACAGTCAAAGGTTAACAGTTATACACTGTGACTCGTCGTGACCTTGAGTTTAGTCAAGCATGAACCTATTGTCGGTGGTCCGGGAACATGCAGCAGTAGAATTAGGTAATAAAAGATGCATCTTTAACCAGGATCAAATAACAAAAGCCTCGACAAGGAAAACTAAAGAACATGAAGTGTGGTTAACAAGAGACTTGAATATATGTTAAAATACAAGACAAATAGAGAAGCAAGTAAATAACAATATTGTCCAACGAAGTTCCGTGGAGGGATTTTGTAATAGTTAGAAGTATTTGAATTAATATAGTAACTGGGAATTTTCGAAATAGTGCTATTTACAGCAAGTAGAACTAGATGAGCATGAATGAACTTATTGTATTTGAAATTCGAAATCAGACAGTCACGAAGTACAAAGGAATCACTGGTTCATACAAACACCACATATTTTCAGCGTGGTCTTTCTGTTACAAATACTGTTCAGTGAAACATTTTGAGTGGATTTGTAGCTCGTTCCTTCTATTATGTGCATTATGGATGTCGATCTACTGAAGTTAAACGTGAACGATGCGACTATTCAGTTTACATAACTTTGCGGTGAGATCATTGTCTAATCTGACCTATCCGAATGTGGTGGCTATGTTATTCTGCTACAGTAGCACAGTTCAAGAAGAAATAAAATCATACCATGTAAACGTCTTATTTAAATATAAAGAGAATAGAAATGTGCAAGAGTCAAATTGCCGATGCACGAGCCAGTTCAATAATGTGTATCAGTCATTGTGGCTCAGGTATTTTTTACATTAATGGAACCTATTAGAGACAAGGCATCTGCAGTTACATTGTTTACAACATAAATTACAGGATACTGAGATGTATAATGCAGTTACCATATCTCTAAGTACTTATCGGATGATAAATAGGGAAAAAACGTTAGGGTCATGAGATTGCAGAATCCGTTGAGATGTTGACAATCATAAACGAAATAGTACTCTGATGGACGTTCCTTCCTCAATGTGCCGTTTTTATGTCTATTCTACTATGGTTGGAAGAAATTTTCTGACCTCATAACTTGTTTTGAATTCACATCATACGACAAATATCTCACCTATATTACGCTTTGCGTTGGCTAGGAAATCTTGCTACTGTTATGTCCGAACAGAACAGATTCAATTTTGCCATGCAAATTATGGACTTGGATATAAAAAGAGTAGAGATGAAAATGATATGAACGACTAACTGCCATAATTGCCACGTACACATTCAGTCAATCTGAGTTAGCTATGCGTGACTGTGAAGATATTATGTAAACAGTTCCCTAACGTAGAAAGCCTTTGGACTGATCGACGATTTCATCATGGGTCAGTGATACTTCACTAGCCCTACATTTATATTGCAACATTTGATAGTTCTCACTGTTAGCGATTTCGCTACTCTTAAACTGCTTCAACTAGCTAATTTGATGTAAATCTAAATCTTCACATACTGCTTCAATGTCAGAATTATTTTAGCTGAGTATTTTCAATTTTATTAACTTCGTCAAGTTAACTTCATGTGAATGCCTATATGGTCGATTATTTGAACATTGTGTGGAAAAATGACAGTTAGTGGCGAATGGCCGTCATTCCTGTGTAAGTTTTCCAAACTCCAGACTCTTTTTGATCATATTTAGTCTAGAGTTTTCCACAATGACCGCTACCTTTGTGGTGTGGTCTACTTATATCCATATAAGTAGTATATGGTGTTGGTCAGACATAGAATGTATTTTGGCAGAAGGCCGATTAGGAAAGAACTGAAACGAAGCGCAATCGGTAGGAAAATGCACGAACAATGGAATTAAAGAAGAAACAGTGAAGATTGAGACTATTGGTTGTTAATTTGCAAATTAACCGTCCATTGTATGGTTTTCAAAATTTACTGAGATAGTCTGTAATTCTTGCATGAATACATTCGATTGTCCCCAGTCGTGTCCTGTTCACTACACCTTCCTATCGGGCGGCAAGGTACCTTGATCGCCAACACTAGCACGTTAGGACTTTTGCACTGCATGCTCCAGCGTGAAGAACTATTGTGATGAACCCCTGAATTTAAGCCACAACCACTTAATACTAAACAAAGACGAAACCAGATACACCGGTAAACCAGCTGTTGTCTACGTGTAAACATTAATGTAAAACAGTAATCAGATTCATGTTTGTAAGTTAGGAACCCTACTAGAATATTTGGCGAGATGTATGTATAATTTATTCGGATTCGCAACCCGACCACTTAACTTCGGATACCTGAGTCACTAAGACTCCGTTACCTCTTATTTGTGCAAAAACACAGATATTCCTGAAACTTTATTGTGATAGTGTGCACAGTGATGACTACTTCGTATTTTGTTATGTATCTCACCCCAATTTCAATATACTGTATATTCAGATGACTTTTTTGTGTTCTGTCTTCAGTTCTGGCTCAGCTGTGACTGTTAGAGTACGAACTGATTAGCTCTGTGAATTACAATTCTGCACATTAAGTTATATTCCCTTAATTCTTACAGTATAAGAACTCCTGCAATTGAAGAATTCAAAACAACTGTCAAACAATACCAAAGTCTGAATCTTTAATGCGAACGTCAAGACAGTCCTGATGTACGGAGCTGAGACGTGGAGAATCACTACAACAATCATCAAAAAGGTACAGGTATTTAGGGACAATTTTATACACATGATACTCAATGTCCGTTGACCGGATACCATTGTAAAACATCTTTGCTGATGTTCTATGTCGAAATGATTGGAGGCCTACTATAGTTAGACGAGAATGGTGACGAACCAACTAACGCTGAAGTCACACCTCGCGACCGGCCCTTACGTGGTTTGAACCATCGACGCATCAAAGGATCATGGACGCTATGGAGACTGTACAACACAAAGGACGTTATTACAAGAATATATTAGTTAAGGTACAACCACGGAAGTACAGAAGTGAAAGAACAACCACTGCCGCGTGGGCCAGTCCATGGTATATATTTGACTGATGCGCGTTGACTATCCTTGACCTTGACAGGGATCAATGATCTGTTCGATATTCAGTGACCCTACACCATCAGCAACAACTTACTATGGCAGAGATCAAACCAGGCTCCAGCTAGAGAGGAAATTAGGAAAAGACGTTGGAAGTGGATAGTACATACACTACGGAAATCACCAAACTGCATCATGAGTCAAGCGCTTATTTGAAAGCCTGATGAGACATGACTTAATATTTCTATCAAAGTACCCATTCTGTTATACAACACTGAATAGATACCTTTTTGTTGATGTCCGTGAATGAGGGAGTAGACAATTCTGATTTTTTCAGTGTATTATTGTACTATCAATAATATTTTGTATAGTTTTTTTATTTTACCGACTACAACACTTTAGATATTTCATCATATGACTGTTCAACATAAAATACGATTATCTAGGACTGATGAGGAGTTTGATGTAAATTGGTGAAAATTTATAATTGCTCACTTCGGTAGTCTTAACTGCTACTGCTTATTAGTAAACAGGAAGTTCTCAGTATGGTGTTTTGTTTGTTTATACAATTGAGAAAATGAAAAAGCAAGCAACAATGCAGTATAAGTAAAAAAGAAATAGGAAGCTCAGTCACTTAAAATCAAAACGACGTTCTTTATCGTTTCATATATTGTTAACCAGATAATTCAGTTCAGAAATATTACTTCAGAAATACAAAACAAAATGGAAAGAGAATTATTGACTGTCCCACAAATATTATTTTTGTTTACGAGGACTTAACATTTGCTGTGACCTCAGCAATTCCTACTCGCCGTTGGCCAACATCAAATACTGTATAAACTTTTCTTAAAAATACGTCCCCAAATATCCATAACGGTCCACTTGGAAAGTCAGTACCAATGAAGCAAGTTCTGCAAATTCGTGAACCATTTGAAACTTTCTAGTAATAATGAAACATAATAATAAAATACCGTTATTTTTATTCGAAACATTTATATGGGTCGATTTTATGATTGAGCTTATAGTAATTTCTATTTACCGGTTATGTAGTCCATAACAGACAGTTAAATAACTTTGCCTGACCGTTGCTGCTACCTTGACATGGTGGTTGGGATTGCCTATCGTGATCAACCAATCGAGCTATGCTGGCTGGAACAATCGTTCCTCAAGGTCCAACCATGCCAGGCAGGTCGGTTGAAGAGCAGTGAGACTAAAAGAAGCTAACACAAGGTCCGAGGGCAAAGTCGTACTGCTGACTGTACAGAGGTGTGACAGCAGTAAGGTTTTTCCTTCAGACAACCAGCATAACAGCGATGCTGTCTTCCCACAAGGAGGGGTGGAGTTAGAAAAGGTCGGCCCTAAAAATGCACACCTCGCCTTATCACACGGATTTCCGTCTCCGTCGGTAAGGTCCTAACAAGTACGGAGCTAATACAAAAACTACCCACAAAAAGTTCGTGAATGACCGACCTCAAGCAGTTGTCCCTTGGGCACTGCGGTCATACTCTCAGGTCATTAAGACCACTTCTAACCCAATTCCCTTCTCAGGTACCTCTAGAAGAACCCTTCCACGGTGTGGGCAACTGGGAAGTGATAACTGCCCTCAAACCGCTAACAGCACTCAAGACCACTGACTGACTGAAATAACTTTACCATTTATAAATACTTTTTGATCAATTCTTAGAATTTCAGTTGTTAGCTACCGAACTGAAAGTTTTTCTATAGCTTCTGTCAAGTAAACACCTCTACTCATATTAACAAAAGCCACAAATATATAAGTGGACGTTATGCCCTCTTTGTGTTTGCTAAGCTGACATTGATTATTTATGAGTTAATCAATATCTGGTGATTGAATGATTCCATTTCAAATTTAGTTTTCACTCCGATGATTTTCTAAACTAGAAAAACTTCTAAGACAAGCGACTGAATGATTATCATTTATCTAAAAAGTATAGTTTTCGCAAACCAAGAAAAAACTCGATGAAGCTTCTTAATAAACCACTGTTGGTATGAGCTGTTACACAATGCACATATGAACTATAAGAGTAAGAAATTTTCGAGTGTTTACACTGATAGATGAAAGTAAGTATAAAGATATATCGAACATATATGTTGAAATGGATAAACATACTTGGACATCGTAGAGATTACAGTTTTACTAATAGAAATGCTTCAAAGATAGAGGGAAACTTGTATAATTTAGTGGTAACTTCTCTGACTAGAGTTGTTTGTGACTTGGATCAGAATCTCTAGTTGAGTATCGGTTTCATTGAGGTTTGTAAAGATCTTATAGAGTTGAGATCATGAGTCAATTGAAGCTAGACCACCATCAAAAACCTGGAAGCACTGGGCGGTCGTTTCGTCTTATTATGGGACTCCTCAGCAGTACGCATCCACGAAGATCCTTCAGCAGTGGGTGCCAACCAGTATAAATAGTAAATCCAGTAAATTTTTACGACTAACTACAGTGTTTAGTAATTATGTTTTACTTAGCTTAATGATTATAGTAATAAATTGATAAATAAAATTCGTTGATCAAAGAGAACTGTTCAATATAGTATTGAATGCTGTTCAGTGATTGGTTACCATGTAGTGAAATTCGCCATGACTAAAAAAAATCAATGAACCTACAGAATAAAGACTTCTAATTTAGCAAGATAGTTTTGATGTTATTTTCCCTAAGTAAGATTACTTGTTAACTATAAGCGATTACTATTTATTTATTATTTATTTAAACACATATATATTGGTACAAAAGGGCACCAGGTACATATGCGCCACACAAAATAATGAAAGTAGGAAGAGAAAGGATGAAAAGATAAGGCGGGCTGAAATGTACAACCAGAAGATTCTTTCAGTTAGGAAAGTTAGAACCATTCTTTATGTAGAAAGTAAAAGAAGGTTGCAGCAGGATCGCCACTGGCTTCTATTCTGAGCCATATCTGATAACGTCTCTAGCCACTGTGTTGCACTATCTCTCGGACCCCAGCCAGGGAGTCGTGAAGGACCAACGGAAGCTAGCCCTTTGCAGCTCTCTTTCATGCCACGACACCATGTCATACACTGACCTCCTCTCCGCTTTCTCCAACCAGTCCCAGGGTTGGCAAATAATGCACGGCGAGGAAGTCTCTGGCACGACATTCGTAGAACAAGTCCAAGCCACCGAAGTCAGTGTTTCAAGATGGTGACACCAATCGAATTATCGTCTCTGCGGCCGAACACACGATGCCGAACCTCTGCATTACTAACATGGTGTTGCCACTGGATGTCAGCAATCCTTCGGAGACAACGATGATCGAACACAGAGAGTCGTCTAACATCCTCAACTCGGAGAGGCCAGGTTTCACAAGCATAGAGCAAAACTGCTCTCACTGATGCGTTGTAGATCCGACCTTTTACAGCCAGACTAACATCACGAAGGCGCCAAAGATGGCCCAGATTGGCATAAGCCGCTCTGGCTTTCATTATACGTGCATCAATCTCATCACTCACGCCACCACCAGCACTTATGTAGCTACCTAGATACACGAACTTCTCAACTACTTCGATCTCCTCACCATCCAGGGTGAGTACAGGATGAGAATCCTGCCAGTCTTGTAGGAGTACCTTGCACTTGGAGGGTGTAAAGCACATGCCGTACCTGCGGACACTGATTGCCAACTGATTAAATGCGAATTGCATGGCTTGAGCATTATCGCACAGTAAGACAATATCATCCGCATACTCGAGGTCGAGAAGTCGTTCTCCAGGCAACATATCCACACCGCCATTACTTACATTCATCAGAGCTGTTTCCAGAATGTCTTCGATGGCAAAGTTGAAGAGGAATGGTGAGATCGGGCAACCCTGCCTAACCCCACTGCTCGAATGGAACAAGGGAGAAAGGTGGTTGTATGCCCTCACTCTGCCTGAGGTGTTCGTATACAGGGCCTTTAAGATGTTAATGAACTTCTCAGGCACACCCTTCTTCAATAGACAATCCCAGAGAACAGTCCTGTCCAACAAATCGAAGGCAGCCCTGATATCAAGAAACACTACGATTGTTGGCCTGCGATAAGTATGACGGTGTTCTAACATTTGGCGGAGGGTGAAGATGTGATCAATGCATCCTCGATCAGAACGAAAACCAGCCTGCTCCTCGCGAGTCAATCGTTCTCGGGTTTTAAACAACCTACGAAGAATGATAGAAGCCAATAGTTTTGACGCAATCGAAAGTAGACTTATCCCCCGATAGTTATTGCAGGAACAACGTGAACCATTTTTAAAGATAGGGACGACGATTGACTCATTCCAAGATGTTGGAACACTTTCTTGCTCCCAAACCTTTCCAAACAACGCAGTCAGTTCCTTAGCCAGAAAGTCACCACCATCTTTAAAAAGAGCCGGAGGTAAGTCATCTGTGCCAGGTGATTTATAACGTTTCAAGAGTTGGAGTTCTTTGCGGACTTCCGCCTCGTTTGGTGGATCAGTCGTCACCGTCCATGGGTGGGCAGGACAAGCTGGTTGATGTTGCCGGAGCAGCAGGCCAGTTGAACTGCCCTTCGAAAAATTCCGCCCATCGTCCAAGACGTCGAGAGATGTTAGTGATTGGCATCCCGTCATCCTCGTAGATTGTTTCACTCACACCAGACTTCTTGCTGCCAGTGGCTCGGATGAGTTGGAAGAGCTTCCGGCAGTTACCAGATGCAGCTGCTGCTTCCATCTCATTAGCACGCTCCGACCACCAGGCTTCTCGGTCCTTACGCAAGCTTTGTCCAATTTCATTACGTAACAGCCTTCGTTTGTGGTCATACTCACGGTCACCCGGAGTAGACCGACGGGCTTCCATCAGTTGTAAGGAGCTAGAAGAAACCCAGTGTTTGTAAGAGGGACGTTTCGCGAAGCCGCAAGCGGCTTTACTCGCCATTTTCATGGCGTCGTGAAGATGCAACCAATGCTCGTCTATACTTTTCGGTGGGATGGTAGCTAGCCTAGAAGCTAGCTCCGCTCGATACTTACTTACAACAGATTTTGCAGCCAGTTTATTAACATCGATCCGTTGGTGGTGGTCAATCCTTCGGCCACTGAAAAGTAAGGTGAGATTGGCGCAGACCAGGGCATGATCAGGCTCCAGATAGGTACTCCAAAAGGAGCGGCAGTCTTGTACACAACCACGCCAGCGGTAGCTGATCGCGATGTGATCAATCTGATTCCAGGCTTGGGATGCAGAGGGAGGACGCCAGGTAGCACACCGGCGATGACTGTGTCGGAAGTTAGTGCTGGCCAGAAACAGGTTGTGGTCTGTGCACAGTTGCAGCAAACGGTCCCCGTTATCTGTCCGGCGACCAACAAGTCCCCATCGGCCACCTAGACGACTCTCTTCTGTGCCTAGACGCCCGACCTGTGCATTCAAGTCTCCGGCTAGTACTACAATATCTGTCGAACGCGCTTTCTGGAGAAGAACTGTTAACTGATGGTAAAACTCATCCTTGATTGCATCCGGGCTGCAATCTGTCGGGGCATAGGCGGAGATGACGAAAAGACACCGTTTCTCACACCGATTTCTTCTCACTTTGATGGAACTTTCTAATCTAACAGCACATAACCGACTGTTAATGGGGATCCAATCGATTAGTGCTGCCTCAGCCCTAGCGCTTAGTGCGACACCAACGCCAGCAAGACCAGACGAAGATGCCACAGGGTCCCCGGATAAGCGCACGTGGAACAAGCTCTTCGAGGCGACAGATGGAAAGCGGATTTGTAGTACTTCACTAGAGTCTTGAATACGGGTCTCGGATAGACAACAAACATCAACATTAAGACCTTCCAAAGACATAGCCAGCCCTATCTGTTGTCTGATATGCATTAGTGTGCGAACGTTGAAGGAAGCCAGCTTGAACGGCGTACGTGGTTTCAGAAAGACTGCTTCAGTATTCATTATCGGTGGAAGCATTCACTTTCAACCAGACAGTGACTGGAGATCGTTTAGATAGGACAGATTTTCCACCATGGGCGAGCTGCTGCATAAGTTGAAAAGTAAGGTTACACAAATTGGGGATAAAAGGGGGTGAGTTAGCGATATGGTAAATAATAATAATAATAATAATAATAATGTTAATTGTCTTGCTTTTAGTATGAGCAGGGATATTATCGTCAATAGAGTTCATAATTTCATTCATTTGTGTATGGGCTGTGATACTGCCCGGGTGCCCAAACCGAAGCAGGTGGTTTTCTTAGGGGACCACACCCCGAGCCTTTGACCTAAAGGTCTGATCCACAAGGCAGTGGAGCATCGTGAGGAGATGCAGTCCCATGGTTGCCGTTGACCAATGACAGGTTCTTCCGCCATTCGTTCCATCAGGATACTGGAGCCCATGTGCACCATTGGTATAAACGATTACACGAACCAAACTTATTAAGGTCGTATCATGATCAATAAATTAACTTACCAAATGAAACTACTTTACACTACAATTTTCGGCACTAGTGGTTGCAAGCAATTTTTATTGAGTATCTTGCCAATTTGACATCTAATCACGTGACTATATAGTCTGTTCTCTAATGACATATATTTAAGCCTAAGACAGTTATACTAAGTACTCGAAACTTTCGAAATTTAAGATTAATATTTTAGCATACAAATAGAAAATATAGAACATCAATATAATGCATGATAATGGATGATATTAATGTGACTATTATGGAATACATGCCTAACGTAAATATATAATCAATTAGAAGTGGTAGAATAAACAACTAATTGTTTGGTTGGTCCTATTGTGAGACTCTTCAGCAGTGCGTATCCACTATACCGTCTTGCAAGATTCGAACCCAGGACCTATCAGTCTCGCGAGCGAGCGCTTAATCTCTAAACCACTGAACCGACCGGCATCTAACGGTGTTAATGTCTAACTTCAACCAATCCATGAAATTAAGCCACCATTCACCAGTGTCTTCAGTGAGTTACTAAAATCTCCACAAAACCCCCTTCTGATAATTGATTATCCGAATTACAGTAAAATTCAAAATAATTTTTTCAGCGTACATGTAATTAACTTTCCTCTTGTCAAAATGGGTTTTTTTTAACTATTTGTTGATGCTGAATAAAGTCAAAGTCATATGCATTATATCCCACAAATGAAATTACTGAAAAAACTTAGGATCATTTTTCAGTCTTGTGTTCTACCACTAGCTTTCTAAGCTGAAAAAAACTATCTTACATGTTTTAAATGTAATACACTACTTAATTACCTGACCATCTATAAAGCTTGACTGATTAGTAAAGTAACTACTACCTATTGAAATAATTAGTATACAACTTTTGATTTAGTCAGTCAGCCACAACATAGGACCAGGTTCATATATGCATCGGTCCGAGTTGCCGTACCTCATTAGCATAACAAGATGAACACCGGATTCATAGAAGTAGTTAATTTAGTGGTAGTAGTATATAAAAGTTAGGTTGTATATAAGGATATAGTATAGGAAGGAAAAAAGTTATGAAGCAGTTTTAATCTCAAGGTTTAAGGGAAGATAAAGAGTGTATACACCGACGCCATTGTGATTAATTCTGAGCCATGTCATCTAGAGTCTCCATTCATTGGTTACGATAGTCACACGGACCCCAACCAAGTAATCTACATCTGCCAACTTTTGATTATTATAAACAATAATAATCTATGCAAAATGTGGGTTGTTATTCAATTGAAATGATCTTTAAGAGTTACATCTGAACTATCTGTTACATGGATTATAATTGTTAACCAACTTCAAAACAATTATATACAATCATTAAATGTACTATTTTCTCACCTCAACAATATAATCATCTGCTTTCAATTGAATAGATTTACCATTAATTTTTATTTCAATTATTGGTAATTTGGGAATTTTATTACAATCCACAATGTATTCATTATTAGATACTTGTATACTTCCAAGATATTTATTGATGTTATTAATTTTTTCAGTTGGACCTGATATTAAAGCTGTACCTGTATCGATTAATGCAATACTTCCACTTGGACAAAATATTTCACCATTGATTGATATACTTTTAATATTTTCAAGGTGAAGTGAAAAAAAATTCAACAATTAATAAAAGTGGTCTAGCTTCAATTGACTCATGATTTTAACTATGAAAATATTGAAATATCCACAAAAACCCCTTCTGATCTATAATCATATGCTCACTAGTGACTGACTGTAAGGAATGTTTCCTTGAGTTCTAGTGAGAAGCAGTGACCAGTGGAGTTCAACCAAGTCTGTTGTAGCGATATCAACACACTGAAGACAATTGGTGAATAGTTGCTTAAACATCGTGGATTGGTTGAAGTTAGACATTAACACTGTTGGATTCCGGCTCAGTGGTCTAATGGTTAAGTGCTCTGGCGCAAGACTGGTAGGTCTTGGGTTCGAATCTCTCGAGTGCAGGGTCGTGGTTACGCACTGTTGAGGAGTCACATAATAAGATGAAACGGCCATCCAGTGCTTATAGGTTTTCCCTGGTGGTCTAGCTTCAATTGACTCATGATTTCAACTATGAAAATAAAAGATTTCCATGATTAATAGATTTCATCACAAACTGACATTAACTATAATGCCAAAATATCATTTAGCAATATATGGATTAGTGAATTTCGAGCCAAAACCCAAGACTCACTATCGTAAATCTGATTGGTTCGTATATAAACTATAGTCTCCCCCAGAAAGGCATATTGATTGTTTTAATTTTCATTGGTCTATCTAGTCAATCTTTTGAGCAAAACTGTTCTTTATGACTGACTAGGGCTTATTGTCAAGAGTATATTATAGGGACGAGCTTAAAATAACTATAACAAATTATCAGTTAATTCTTAATCAATCAGAAAACAGTCTTTGTAGATGAATGTTTTTTGGTACAGAAAATGATAGCATTACAAACTGTACATACAGTTGGCATATTTGATGATTTATAATCTTCTACAGGTTACCCTGCTGATAAATCGTAAACATTCGTTCTTATGGACATAGATTATCTGTCTCGTAAATAATTACCAAGACCCAAATAGATTTTTATGAGTCCCCATATTGTCATTGATTAGGGTTAAGGATTTAAGGTAAAGATTAGGGATTTAGGGTTAGTGTTTTTATCACAAACTGACATCAGTCATAATGCATAAGTCATAAGTGCTCTGTTGCCTTATGTGTTTTGCCCAAGAATGAAAGAAGAGCTGTTTAATCTGTTTGTTCATAAATTTTAGTACCAACAGGTTAAGATATGTTTCAGGACTAGGGGGTTAGGGCTAGGATTTAGGGAAAGTGTTGGTTTGCCTGTTATATGTAATCTGCAGAAAGCAAATTGAGCATTTATATTTTTAATATTATCATTCTTACTTTACGGCGTGAAAAATAATTTTTCGCTGTCATTTTAAGCGCTATGAGCAGCATACATATATATTCCTACTGTTCGTTATGCGTGATATTTGAATTTCAATCAAAACCCTGTTAGTCACGTTCTCAATCTTGATTTTCTTGCCCCTAGAATATACCTTTATTAGACTTTAAAGTGAATAAACAATTGCATGTATACTCAACGTTGGAGAAACTACAACTAGGGAAACTTTATCAAGTAATCAAGTCGTACTTAGATTTTGTTGTATTCAGTAGAAAGGGTACTTGAGGTGCTGCTTAATAAACTCACTGTGATTTTCTATCCTAGATTAGGAATTTCTCATAATGAGTTTGCTTATTTGAAAAGACATATTTACGAGGTGGAATTATTCTTTAAAGAAATCACTTACCCATCTATGTTAATCATCCAATATTCTTCACTTACAACGTCCGAATAAGTTAAATTGCCAGTATAATATCTATCATCAATGCCACCAAACATTATTTCTCCACTAGTTGTTTTATCTTCATTACTGATTGGTGCAATTAAAATCAACAAACATTAAATCAATCATGTAAGGTACATTGAACAATAAGTTCTTTGACGAAAAACTGAAGTATACCCATAATTAATCTGTACATATTGATGCATTCATATATGAAATATACTGTTTGATTAAATTGAACGTTAACAAGTACGAAGCACATCATTAAAGAAAACATGGTTATAGTCAGAAGGGGTTCCGTGGAGATTTCAGTATTTTTCTCAGTTGAAATTATTAGTCAATTGAAGCTAGACCACCAGGGAAAACCTATAAGCACTGGATGGCCGTTTCATCTTATTATGTGACTCCTCAGCAGTGCGTAACCACGACCCTGCACTCGAGAGATTCGAACCCAAGACCTACCAGTCTTGCGCCAGAGCACTTAACCATTAGACCACTGAGCCGGAATCCAACAGTGTTAATGTCTAACTTCAACCAATCTACGAAGTTTGAGCAACCGTTCACCAATTGTCTTCAGTGAGTTGTTATCTCACAACAGACTTGGTTGAACTCCACTGGTCACTGCTTCTCACTAGAACTCCAGGACAAGTATCTTGAAGTCAGTCAGTTGCCGGCTCAGTAGTCTATCGGTTAAGTACTCCGGCGCGAGACTGGTAGGTCCTGGGTTCGAAACTCGCGAGTGCGGGATTGTGGATGCGCATATCTGAGGAGTCTCATAATAGGACGAAACGGCCGTCCAGTGTTTCCAGGTTTTCGATGGTGGTCTAGCTTCAATTGACTCATGATTTCAACTATGGAAAATATGGTTATTTAGAACGAAAAATTAGTGTAAATACAAACAAATTCTCTATATCATTTAGTTGAATGAAAATATGTATTCTAGATTTTACTTCAGTATATCCATCATATACTAATTCAGCTCATTATAAAACAATAATCATTTAAAATTTCAAACCAAATAAACAATTGTAAGCAAAAATGGATAGTGACTAACAGTGGAATCCAGGACTCGCGTTTCGTCCTATTTGGGGCTCGTCAGCTGGATGTACCTGCATCTCAGAGTTGATGTTCACTCTGGGACTCAAATTAAGGCTATATCGAGTCAATACACACAGTATGCACATATGCCAATTAGAGACTGACCAATTGCAGTCCTAAACATCAATGGGAAGATTCAAATAAACAATACTAAATGAATTCAAATAAACAAATTATTTTTGGATCATCATTAAACTTACAGATTTAGGTAAACTGAAAATACAGGTTTATCAACTAAATTCTGTTTAATCATATTCATAAATATAGGTGTTGGATTAGAATTTTGTGAAGTTTGTTGAAATCCCATACCCATAATTCCATCAAAATGAAAATTTACAAATACTTTACCAGGTTGATTAATTACTTCACCAAATGTTTGATCTACAATATTCAATGAGCCTATCTAGATGATTATGTTTTTATACAATAAGTAGTATATACATACTTACATGAACACAATCTGAACTTAAAAATCCTGATGCTGTTCCAGTACCATATTGAACATAAAATAATGCACCATTCGGTTTATAAGTTAAAGATTTTGAACTATCATATTTATGATGTAATTGACAAGCTAAATTACTAGGATCACACTTTTTAGATGGGATCCATAAATATGGTGATCCTGTATCGAATATCACATGAAATGTTTGAGGTGGTGTCCCAATAGAAATCTCTCCATAATATTCAATCTAAAAATTTGATTATAATGAATCGTATATTAGAAAGGTAAAGGCCAGAGAGGGAGAAAAGGAAATAGAGATCTGGAAAAGTTATTCTATGTTAATCTTTAATTATGAACTTACATTTTGGTAATTTTCTAAATATTCAATATCTATTCCATTTTTTGATGATGTCAATCTTTGTAACCATTTATTTATGAATTGTTCAGCTGATAAATTCCATTGATAATTTAATGGATAATAAGATAAGTTTAAATGATGTGATGAATATAATCGAATCCTGGCAGAATAAAGCAGAAATATCATAATATAAATTATTTATTTATTTAAACACATAAATATTGGTACAAAGGGGCATCAAATAGATATGCGCCACACAAATCTCATTTGATTTTTGTGAGGTCTGTGATACTGTCCAGGTGCCCAAACTGAAACAGGTAGTTTTCTTAGAAGGCCTAACCCGGAGCCTTTGACTCAAAGGTCTGATCCACGAGGCAGTAGAGCATCGTGAGGAGATGCAGTCCCATGGTAGCCAGTGACCAATGATTGGTTCATACGCCATTTTTACCCTCAGGATACTGGAGTCCATGTGCACCATTGGTTTGGAATCAGGGTTTTCCAACTCCCTTAGGTGAACTTTCCATGTCCACCAACCCGGTTAAAGCGCCGGACATTCGCTTTTCGTCCTCTCATTTTCGTAAACAACACCCCCACCACGAGAAGGCAGTGAGTAGGATTACCCTGGCAGAGGCTATATACGCGTGACCATGTAAAAGCATTTCGAAAGGGTGAGTATACTCTCCGCACTCTCGACCGTACCAGGGCATTTGAGGGCATAATATAAATTTATATTTATAATATAAATTATGATAACACTAACCTTGTAATCGATTCACTATGAACAAAGAAAGGTAGCAACAAAATAAAAACTTTAAATAAAATCATTTATCGTTTATTTAATGATTATAGGGTTATTTACATTTATGTTGTTTAATATAAATACCCTATGAAATTACAAAAAAAACTAAATTCATAGGTTACTCTCATGATGTGATTTATCAACATGATAATGATAATAGAGCAATGCAACATTGAAATTTTTTGATCTTTGTTCCCCCCCCACCGTTTTTTTTGTATTTCATTTTGTAATTATTATCACTTTTAATGTACTTTTTAAGAAGAATGAAGATTTTAATTAATCTACAAATTATGGATCATGTAGTGTAAATAAATTAGTGATTTAAAGCTTATTTGAACAAATGTCATAACAATATTCTATTCAAAACTTATAACACTTAAGGTTAGTGACGTATATAGTCATTGATAACAAAGTTGAAGAGGAATGGTGAGATTGAGAAACCCTGTCTAACCCCATTGTTTAAAAGGAACAGTGGAGAGAGGTGGTTGTATGCCCTCACTCTGCTTGAAATGTTTGTATATATGGGTTTTAATATGTTAATAAACTTCTTCAGACAAATCTTTCCTCAATAGACAATCCCAGAGAACAGTCCTGATCAACAAATAGAAGGCAGACCTGATGTCAAGAAACACTACGTTTGTTGACCTGTGATAATTATGATAGTGTTCTAATATTTGGCGGAGGGTGAAGATATGAATAATGACTGATTATAATCGAAGTCGATTTATCAAGATTCAGTATGAATAGAAATTTTTTACACTATTTCGCCGCGTTAGGTGGTTGCAGTTAGTCAGCAGGAAACCATAAACCACGGTTTCATGTTTTTTGGAACCCAATAGCAAGGCGTACTTCCAGTCTTGAGAGTAATGATACTAGATGATCCATTAAAGACCGGTTCACCCAGTTCACGACATCAGACGTTCATATTGAGTCATTCGGGAGGGGGAAACGAAATTATGTAAGATGGGAGAGTTCCAAAAAGAACGAAACCCAAATACAGGATTTGTTCTAGCCTAACGACTTGGACTTTATTTTCCCATTTCTCTTGCCTAGAATAATCTTAAAAATCTATCTTCTATATGATGAAGAAAGAGCTGCACATGATGATATGTCGATTTTATTATTCCTTAAAATTATTATTACTACATGAAGACACATTGATTAGCAAAACCGATCTCAAAAGCGTTATTAATAATGCTAAAATATGAGCCTAATTAGTTGATCAAACCTAGAAAACAGATTCGGATCAATTTGTTTGAAAAATTTCTTTCTGCGAATTTTCCTCTTTAATCTACTACTCTTCAATCTTTAAACTTAAACAATGCCTAACATAAGATGGATAGTGCCAAGCAGTGGAATACAGGATGCGCGTCTCGTCCTATTTGAGACATGTCAGTTGCATGTACCTGTATCTCAGAGTTGATGTTCATTCTGGGACTAGAACCCAGTACCGTTCGCTTCAAATGCCATTTCATAAACCCATCAATATAGGAGAATAACGAAAGCAGGAGAATCCAGACCAGTAATTTTCGTATTCTATCCCAAGGGGATAAATAATTTTTTGAAGAACACTGCTTCTCACAGCAATTAGCGATCAGATGCTTGTTGATTTTAAAACAATTTGTTTCTAGTAAAGTGGTTGAAAGAGATATACATAAATTACTTCGTAATATAATTTTGCTGAGATAATTCTAATACAATATGATATTTTAAGAAATAACCATTGAAATCATATCCCAGTGTCTATAACGAGTTACTTACTTACTTACTTACGCCTGTTACTCCCAATCGAGCATAGGCCGCCGACCAGAATTCTCCAACCCACTCTGTCCTGGGCCTTCCTGTCTAGTTCTATCCAATTCTTGTTCATTCTTCTCATGTCTGTCTCTATTTCTCGGCGTAATGTGTTTTTTGTTCTTTCACGTTTCCTTTGGCCTTCAGGATTCCATATGAGGGCTTGTCTTGTGACACAATTAGGTGATTTCCTCAAAGTGTGCCCAATCCACTTCCAGCGCTTCCTCCTGATTTCTTCCTCCACTGGATGGAATCTGGTTTGTTGTCTCCCACAGTAACTTCTTGCTGATAGTATCTGGCCAACGGATCCGAAGTATCTTGCGTAGACAGCTGTTAACAAACAATGGTATCTTCTGGATAATGGCTTTCGTAGTTCTTCACGTCTCCGCCCCATACAGTAGAACTGTCTTGACACTTGTGTTGAAAATTCTAACCTCGGTGTTGGTTGACAATTGTTTTGAGCTCCAGATGTTTTTCAGTTGTAAGTATGCTGCTCTTGCTTTGCCGATCCACGCCCACACATCTGCATTTGATCCACCGTGTCCATCGATGATGCTGCCCAGATATGTAAAGGTTTCCACATCCTACAAAGCTTCTCCGTCAAAGGTAATTTGATCGGTGCATATTGTATTATATCGGAGAGTCTTGCTTTTCCGTTTGTTTATATTGAGACCTACTGCTGCTGAGGCTGCTGCTACACTGGTCGTTTTCTCCTGAATTTGTTGTTGCGTTTGTGATAGAAGAGCCAGATCATCCGCGAAGTCCAAGTCGTCAAGCTGCATCCTGCCTGTCCACTGTATCCCGTGATTTCCTCCAGATGTTGACGTCTTCATGATCCAGTCGATGACCAGGAGGAAGAGAAAGGGTGAGAGTAAGCAACCTTGCCTAACACCGGTCTTTACTTGAAACGGGTCGGTGAGCTGTCCTCCGTGGACGATTTGACAGTTTAGTCCATCATAGGAGTTCCGTATGATACTGACTATCTTCTCCGGCACGCCGTAGTGTCGAAGAAGCCTCCATAGTGTTGTCCTGTCTACGCTATCAAATGCCTTCTCGTAGTCGATGAAGTTGATGTACAGTGGTGAATTCCATTCGATTGATTGTTCCACAATGATATGTAGAGTTGCGATTTCGTCTGTACACGATCTATCCTCACGAAATCCAGCTTGTTGATCACGAAGTTGGGTGTCTACGGAATCCTTCATTCTGTTTAACAATACTCTGTTGAAGGCTTTTCCTGGTATTGAGAGAAGAGTGATGCCCCTGTAGTTGTCGCACTTGCTGAGATCACCTTTCTTTGGTATCTTGATCAGAAGTCTTTTTTTTCCAGTTTGTTGGTACTTGTTCTTCATCCCAAATCTTACTGAAGAGGATGTGGAGTAATTTTGCAGTTGCTGCTACATTTGCTTTCAGTGCCTCTGCCGGGATGTTGTCTGGTTCCGTTGCTTTGCCTGTCTATAACGAGTGATAGGACTCAAATCCCTGTAATGACACGAAGCTTTGTATCCGAAGTATAAATTATAAACTGTCAGCGGGATCAGAGAATAAATATGTTCTGTACATGTTTTTATTTAGTTAGAATGTAGTTAACTAATAGAAACGGACAATTCGAAATAAAAAATACGGCTTGAAACATTCCCTACATATGCAAGCAAATTTCTTTTGTATCAATGAGACCAAGTTAATGTCATGACAGTATTACATACATGTGAATCTGTTGTCTATTCAAAAACATGCTGAATCAAATGATTTTTACTAATCTAGTGACAAAATTGTTAGTTTGTTTTATAAAGACATTTACAAATCACGATCAGTAGTGTTGGGCCCCCCAAATGCCCTTGTACAGCCGAGAGTGGAGAGAGTCCGCTCTCCCTCTCTAAATGCTCTCACATGACCACATGTATATAGTTTCTGCCACACAAGTCCTACTCACTGCCTTATCGTGGCATTACTGTTGTTGAGAGGACGAAAAGTGAATGTACGGCGCTTTAACCATGTTGGTGGTCACGGAAGGTCCACCTAGGGGAATTGGAAAACCCTGATTCCAAACCAATGGTGCACATAAGTCCAGGATCCTGAGGGAACAAATGGCGTATGAATCGATAATTGATCACCGGCTACCATGGGACTGCATCTCCTCACGATGCTCTACTGCCTTGTGGATCAGACCTTTGAGTCAAAAGCTCCGTGTGTAGCCCCCTAAGAAAACTACCTGCTTCAGTATGGGTACCTGGACAGTACCACATTCCTCACACAAATCAAATGAGATTTGTGTGGCGTATATATACCTGGTGCCCTTTTGTACCAATATTTATGTGTTTAAATAAATAATAATAAGTGTTGGAAGACATTAACCACTATATTACTACTTAAATATTCAATATTTAACCCAAAATTAAAGTTTAATCTTAGATTTTGAATTTTAGTCTGCCTTATCAATCAAGCGTTAGTTCAAACAATGCTTTAAGACATAATCTTTGTAAATTCAAATGATACCATTCGATTGATCAGACTACAACAGATGAATTTAAAACAATTAGTCCCTTTGATAAATTTCGATAATGCAATGAGAAGACGAAGTTTATCAGAATTATGTGATATATTAGCGCAATACATTTCGAACAATCTGATCACACATATACTTGTTAAGACATTTTTTATATGAAAATTAAAAGGTCAACTAGACAGGTTAAGGTAAGAAAATAAATAAAGTAGATAAAAACAATGTGATGACTACTCTGGATAATAAATAAGCATTACCAGGTAGGTTAAGGGTAAGAACAAATTGTTTTTGAACACATAAAGGAGGTTTCAATTTCCGTATAGCCAAGGCTTCAATAAACCTTAGTATACTTCCTTGAAGGCTTTTGTACAACACTACAAATGCTGATTTGATGTCAACCTTATGACCAGTTTCAACTAAATGTTTCGCAATAGAGGAAGATGTTTGTCTGTCCTGTGATCTTATTTGACTATTCGAATTCATTTGGTTCTGTAGCCATTTAGGTATGTGTTCCACCACCCTTATTTGCAAATCACGATTGCTCCTCCCTATGTACGTGTTTCCGCACATACATGTAAATTGGTATACACAATGGGATGTGACACAATCGCTTATATGCAGTCTAGGTTTTTGGTGAAACATCGACCTTGTCTTTTCAATGATGACAAGTTGAGCTGCATAGAATGTCCTATTTATGGCTAATTTTAGTCTCCGTCTTAACATGAGACTATTAGAGTCACTTCTAAATGGTAATGTA